CTGAATTTCGAGACCTTTTTCTTCTGAAATTTTCTGCCGCTGCGCGGGCCATCATGAATCGGGACATCCCGACAGACCGACGTTGCGCTAAGGAAGAGCACACGGGGGATGCTGTATGTTTTTTTAGGGCCAAAGTCGACTCAATGACAAGGTGAAATGGTGGTCGTCATTGAGGCTGCGTCAGCAGATGAGAGATGGGAAAACCCATCACGTGTCATTTCCCCGTTAGGGGAAATGATGATGGGATCCCAAAAATCGCTCTCATCCAACAAACGACTCCCATAAATGGGACTCGTAATTAGACTCATGATAACCAGTGGGATAGAGGCCAACCGTTCCGGTGGCAGATACGAGTCCCCCCATTTTTTTAAACATGCAATAGAGACATCACATGCTTTTTCGGTGGCCGAGGTTCATTCTCGGCCGAAAGAGCGTACAGCAGACGCTATTAACGAAATACAAGTTCCAAATATTTCTGAATGATTGAACATCACAATAGTAGCCCAAATAGCCCGAAAAATCCACAAAAAAGCAAGGAAACCGAAACGAGCAGAGAAACGAGCGAGATTCGGACAGTGGTCAACCATTGAGCTTGTCGCTGTCAGCAAAATTGTCAGGGTAACAAAGACCAGATGCTGGCTTTTCTGGTTCCTACTCCCGTTATGCCACATAACGATGTAACGGCTTGGCTCAGAGCTGACGAAGCCGCGGCTGCCGAGCCGTCCAGTCGGGTTGACGGCTCGGCCTGAGACGGCTCACGGCTTAGGCTTGGGATTTTCGCAAGCCAAAGGTACGGCTTGGCCGTATTTCTTGCGTGGAGCATTGTCCAGCAGTCCTAAGGTGAATTGAGAGTCATGTTCATCAGTTTGACAGCTTTACACACATAATTAGGGATGTTGTTCCATTTTGGAACCCATTTGTCTCCACCTTGCGCCACAGTTCTGACGGCTTCAAGCCGCGGCTTTCGTCGGCCTGCGGCTTAGGCTTGAAATTTTCTGAGCCGAGCCATGAAAAGCCGAACCGAGCCGTCTCATCACTAACATTGCCACAATGTCTGATTATTGTAGTACTATTCTCTCTTAGAGACAGTGTCACAGTGGTGAGCAGTTGAAAAATCTGCACACCGATTCTTTAGCTAACAAATGATAAGATACCAACAGTGGAGAAAATGCTAAGAATAAAAATATAATGACAGTACTGCTGTAGACGCCTTGTCGCGATATCGAGGAAAAAGTGGACCCACATAATTTCATTGCAAATGCAGCTCACTCCATTCAATTCATGGCCCAAGCTTTTGTTCCATGTTGCTAGACCCAGGAGTACCGCCAATTCCAGAATTTCTATCGAACAACAGTCAACGTGAGGGATTGTGCTGACAGTCAGTATGCTACATGGAACATTGGAAACTGAGCAATATCATGTTCCCGAATTTTCTTGGAGACCATCCGGGGCAATAGGAATTCATGGCAGATAACAGGCAGTGAGATTCAGAGAGCAAAAAACCCAGGCAAGTACTGATACTTAATATTTAGGCTGTTTCCAGAGGCTGTTTCATAGCTGATGGAAAATGGTCAGAGATGGCAATGGCCGTAGTAGCAGGACATACTTACTAGGCAGAGCATAGAAAACCACTCCAGTGCTGAGATGAGGATTGAGAGGGTCACCGAAGAGCGAAGACGATGGCTGGCGCCAGCGGGCTGTGCTGTCACGTGGATATCCCCTTTGGGCTCTTTGATGATGGTTTCCACAATTTTCGTCCATCCCAACAAACGATCCCACAAGTGGGACTCGTAATTCAATTGCTTCAGCAGGACTAGGTACGTGGTTTATTCTGTTCACAGGTGATTTCTGGCTGATTCCCAGCTAGCAGAATCACTTCCAGGATATGGGTCTAAGCGCAGCAAGCATCGACAAAGTGTTCTGGGCTTCCAGTTGCGGATTGAGGGTATCCACCGCGGTATCACCAGTCCACCACTTTTCCCGAACAGGTCCACCGTCTTTTTTAAGGCTCCAACCAGATTGTATGTATACCGTATGTGTATGTGTGTATATGTATGTATGTGACTTTTGCAAAAAAAGTATACAGACAGTTAACTTACAGTATATATGGTTCATACAATTCCCATCCACCCAGGACAGAATTCTGTCGAGAACCAGGAGATATAGAGGCAATATGGCCTCAATTATGATGCCACATATGGTTGCTGACCTTTCTGTCATTAAGAATGTCAAATTCATGACGAATTTGCTATTTGATGATGTGAGTTCAGTCTCTTTAGTAACTGCTTAGATAAAACTCGTCACGAGATGAATAAGAGGCTTCGGGAGATGAGGGAGATGAGGGAGATGCGGAAGAGGCCGCCGATTTCGAAGCTGTTGCGCTATCACACCAGCTCACGTTCGCATTTCTGAACCAACCTTGAACGAACCAGTGAGATAGAGGCCGTCCTTCGGCGGCAAGCACGAGTCCCCAATCGAGTTCCATTCTTCTTCTCAAAGTCTGGTCATTTTAGCTTTCCAGATAGGCCTTGGATCAAGTGATTGAGTAATTTCCAATCCAGAAGTTTAAATTCATCCTCACCAGTAATCTCTCATCTAATGTCATATGTACTTTCTTTATAGTTTTACTTTATGCAATGCTGCTATCCGGGACCTTCTCAACATTGACCCTTGTCATGAGGATCACTCTGATTCAAAGTTTCATCCTGAGACACTCTATAATCTTGGTGAAGGCCCTTCCTAGAGGTCAATTTAAGCTCTCAGACCATTTATTGTTGGAATGCTGAGAGTCTGACACTACCATTAGTACCCATTACCAGTCAACTACCAGCCAAGATAGGGCCACCATACAAAGAATCAGTATTTTTGGGTATCTGTGTACTCAGGAACCTTAGATAACTTCTCAATAACTCTCCAAAGTGCATGCTGGATGCGGAAAGCACAATATCGCTCATACCGATCGCTGCCGTGCCAGTGGGAAAAGCCGTCAGGTGACTAACCCTATTAAGGGCGGTCTTGGTGCTGGTCTGAAAGTGCTCCCACCCAACAGACGAGCCCACAAGTGGAACTTGTAATCTGCCCGAGTTTCAACACAACTTTTCTTGCTTCTGCATTGAGATGACTTGAAAAGACAACAGAATTCAATTCAGAATCATGACAAAAAGGACGCTACATATTGCTGTGAGCGGCCAATATCCTGTCTTGCTTCGAAAGCCGTCACGCAGAAAAGAAACGGTACTGAGGAATTTGTTCAGGACAAGGGAAGACTGATACATGAGGAGAACTTGACCTACAAATCATGACTTGAGGCAGGAACTGGTTAGAATGGCAGCAGAAGAATCAGGATACGAAGGCTGCCACCAAGGCAGAAATGGTTGGCGGTCAGGGAAATATGAAAGCAAAAGCAGCGCGGCTATGAATCCGAAATAATGAAGCAACAAGGAAAATTCAATGAGCAAATGGCTCCAAAACAAACAAAAGAAACTCGTACTAAACGACCCAACCAGGAATCTCTTTCTAAGTGCAATCCCTCAGGGCGATCACAAGCTCAATGCGCCCGTCCATCGAGATATTACGCTGGCGCCGCGAAAGCTCTGGTGCATTATTGGACGCCCTTCTTCGTGCCAGCTATGCAAGAAAAATCAGCCAAGCGCACAATAGATACAGACAAGAAACCGCACCTTGAGCTCATAGATCTGCATCGTCAACCCTTTCTCAATCAAAAAGCTGGCCATCTGTCTAGGACATATGGCCATATTGTCGACTGTTGGAATCAGGAGGGACTGCGGGTGGGGCCGGGGGTGACATCGAGTGCTATGGAAGGTCATGAGGCAATAATTACAGGAACACAGAAAAGGAATGCTACCTGTGCTTGCAAGACGAGCGTCGAGGTCGTCAATTCAAATGGGAGCAGAGCGACGCTGCGAGCTGGTTGCCAGCAAAGCAGAGGCTGTGCCGCTGTCACGGGAGTATCCCCATTAAGGGCGGTCTTGGCGCTGGTCTGAATTTCGCTCACATCCAACAAACGAGCCCACGTGGGACTCGTAATTTGAGTGACTGAACTGAAAAGACATGAGCTGCAGGTGCTTTTCATGGATATGCAGCCAAGGAGCAGCGTACTGTCGATGGGACTCGGATACAATGGCTCGGACAGGAATTGGGGTCTCATGCAGGAATGGGTAGACCTGTGAGGCTGAATAGCAATGAAATGAGACACCGTCAATGACAAGCGGAGACGATGACACAAGTTTTGCCTCACCTGAAAATCTGCATTTCCATCGATGTCTGAAAGTCTTCAAGTCCACGAAAAGAAAAGGCATTGAAATCCACGGAAAAGCTCGTGACGGTCGGAAGCATGACCTGCTTGGTCTGGTGGTGATATTTGATACATCAGCAAGATGACAAATAACTTTTTGCGCTTTTTTGGGCTTATAAACACGCAAAAAAGCGCAAAAACACGCAAAAAACACGCTGAAATACGTAAAATACGTAAAAAGCTGAAACACGCCACTTTTTATGTCCAAAATCCTACAAGCGGACTACCGCAGACAATGCAGAAAGTTGGGCTATGGCAAGAATATTGCCCACAGCTTGTCAAGTAGCCTGTAGCTCACTTCCATAGTACTTGTCCAGCTAGTTTCGAGTGCATTCTGTGCAACAGGTCTGCTCGTTGCCACGGGTCGAGGACATGACAGCCGTGAGAGTGTGACCACGGCGACGACGATCAGGACCCTTTCCGGCATCCCACAGATGCCGATCAGCGTCATAGAGCTCTCACGTCCCTTGCTGAGATGATACATGGCCTTGAATTAAGCTTCCCGCCCTTCATGGGCTGCTTTGATTATCTCTCACTTTTTACAAGCTGAAATGCGCAAAAAGATGACAAGTTATTTGCAATTTTGCTGATGCTATAATCGAGGAAATGCGCGATATAGTCCAGGAAATGGAATCCTTCAGGTCCAAAGGGAACTGAAGTACGATGCTTTGTTCCTGCTATGGAAGTGATGATGGTGTAATGGTAGCACGTCCAATTAACAACTGCATTCACGGATAGCCCTGGTTTGATTCCAGGTCATCGCCTTATTCTTCCTTATACCTTTTTTATTATTATCCTGTCATTTTGCTTGAATATTGTTGAGACACCTAAAAATCATCGCACAACCATCTACATATCTGCAAAGAATGTAAGGAATGTCATCAGGTTTCAAGCTCAAGGTCCATAGGAGGGAGCTCAAGATACAGTACATAGGAGGGAGTGGAAAAAGGATCAGGCATCATAAAAGCTTGTTTACGGACGGCTCTGGGGATCGGGCAGATTGGATTGTGTTCATGGAAGAACTCACCTTGCCTCCATTGGGTGACAAAACACCCCGCCTTGCTCCAATATTGCGCATTCTCGCGCTCCCTCACCTCTCGCATGACTACCAGATTCTGGAAACATTCCTCACCATGCTCGAGTCGAGGACGTGGAGCTCAGTTAATTCGAGTCTAGATTCTGAATCGACTTTGGAGGAAGTTTCGGTCAAGCTGAATTTGGACGGTAACCCTGTCGCTCTTGAGCGTGTTACTAGACTCAGATGCCGTGGTCTAGTATTCAGGGTTCTGGATGAATGATTATGGCTTCTTTCATCCTGTATGGATTGATGAATATGGGTTCTCTGACTCGGAGTTGTCCACACGATATAAACAATATACATATGCGCTCCATGTCTATTTCCAGGGTGTTTCAACTTGTATTCTAAATCACTGTCAATGAAATTATTTCCGGGTCCATAACAGTTACTAGGTCTCAAGAAGTATACTTTCTCGTTCAGGTTCACCGAGAAATGGTTTCGAACATCCTGTCATTTCACTCGAATATTGTTGAGACGCCTAAAAATCATCTCTTACAACCATCTACATATCTGCAAAGAATGTAAGGAACATCATCAGGTTTCAAGCTCAAGGTATATAGGAGGAAGCTCAAGATACAGTACATAGGAGGGAGTGGAAAAAGGATCAGGCATCGTAAAAGCTAGTTTACGGACATCTCTGGGGATCCAGTTTTCTATTCGTCTTAGTTTTATCATATCCTTGTTCCTCTCTTTCAAGCGACGATGGTGCAGTGGTAGCATGTCTACCTGTCTAATTTACGGATGGCTCTGGTTCCATTCCAGGTTGTTGCCTAGGTTGTGGACAGTGAATCTTTTTATTTTGTCAGTTCCCTCTACGACATGACCACCTGCAATTGTTCAGAACATCAACTACAATCCTTTATTAGAACGCCAACAACAGTTCCTCAACTTGGGGTCAAATCAATCATGGCAAAGACTCGTCTGGCCTCTGATGGCCCGTCAATAATTTATCCGCGAACTCCGTGGGCTCCTGGCCCAATACATCATACCCATAACGTTCACTTTCATCCCAAACGTCCCAATCCGGTACCTCCATCCTACCCCTCGACAAAACCACAACACAATACAAACATCCCTTGTTGAAATCTACATTTCCCTCAAAGTCATAAAGCCCACGGAAAGAAAAGGCCTCAAAGTCCAGTGGTCCACGAAAGACTCGAAAAGGCTCGTCACCGTCAGAAACATAACCTGCTTGGTCTGGCGGCGATAAGGTTAAGTGTATCGTGGTGAGGTTATAGCTGATGTTATCAGAGAACTAGCTCCTGCAAAGCGTCTATCGGGACAGCCAGATATGCCAATGCACTTGAACGTCTCGGAGCGCGGCAAGGCGATATAGGCGAAGAAATGGGCCGAGTCCAAAGGGAACTGAAGTACAATGCTTTGTTTCCACTTTGCAAGCGATGATAGTGTAAGGGTAGCACGTCCAATTAACAACGCTGCTGCACGGATGGCTCTGGTTCGAATCCAGGTCATCGCCTTACTGTGATTATCTCTATCATATTTTTTTTTGGTTCTGTCAATGCGCTTGAATATTGGTGACACGTCTAAAAATCGTCTCTTACAACCATCCATATATATATCTGCGAAGCCACATGAGAACGTAAGGAACATCATCAGGTATCAAGAAGGTATATAGGAGGAAGCTCGAACTACAGTACATAATTGTGAGGCATCTTTTACAGGTGACGATGGTGTAATGGTAGCACATCCGACTGAACAATGCGGATGGCTCTGGTTCGATTCAGGGTCGTTGCCTAGGCTGCATCTCCAATTGCCTTTTTATTCTGCCAGGTCACTCATCTTCCAATCTTGATGTCTCTGAGCTCAGAACATGAGAGGGGGCATGTACATAGGTAGAATTGACTCTGAGGTACACAGGGAGAAGCGGGAAGAGTATCCGACATTGTAAAAAGAAAAAGAGATGAATAAGACCAAAGCGGCCCGATCGACAACAGTACCTCAAGCGTCGACGAAGAGTCGTCTAGCCTATAATGACCTCTAGAGACCCGTCAATACCACGGTCCCGAATTCTGCTGAATTGAAAGAATGGGTGAACCTCACGGTTATCATGACAGTCCTCCCACACCGTCCGGGGGTTCGCGGAGCTGAGGATCAAGTGTGCGCGTTGGTCGGGGTGCACGCTGCGAGGCTGAGGCGTCCGAGTCGATGGACGACGAGCGTGGTATCACCGTCCACCGCCTGCCGGTTGTCACCAATGCCTGGACAACGACCTATTGCTCGAACAATTTCAGCGGCTGAACTCGACGGTTTTGGAAGGACATACCGAGAAGGAGTGTCGTTCTGGAATGGCTACGCAGCAAAAGACGTTATTGAATGATTGGATACGGTGCTCGACGGTGGCCACCAAATGGCTCGGCCGGAAATTTCTGGTTGGGGTATCATGGAGGAATGGGTAGACCTGCGCATCGAAGAAACGCCGTCAACGACAAGCGGAGACGAAGACATATTTCTCACCTGGAATTGGTGACTAATTCTGACATCCCAAGCTCTTTCATTCTTCTCGTATGTTTCTCCCATGATTCGTGATTTGGCGGGCTTACATATTGGAAACCTTGGCGGCTGATAGGTGGCTGAAAAGATTTATTCAAGGGCCGAGCCTTGATCAACGCATTCGCCAGCCTTTCTTCCATATTTCGCCCACCAGATAAACGAAAAAATCAAGCTCTTGAGCTTGAGCCATGAGCCAGACCTGGCATTGGAGGTTCGGATGCATCAGATAAGAAGGGGGATGAATATTTTGCAGTGGCACTTGAAGTGCTCCAGTGCAGCAGTGCCAGCGCCACACTACTACAGTGCTGGCCGTTTCCAATGTTAAAGCACACATGGAGCATTCTGATATGAAAAATTCAAATCAAAATCGTATTTTGGCTATGTTGTCGAGCTTGAAATATACTTTATAAGTAAAATACTCGCTTGAAAGAGTTGACCAAGTAGCTGGGCTGCATTGGAGCACTTCGGCACCTCGGCACTTGCACTGTAGCCTCAGGTAGGTGGCACTGGAAGGATGCCGAGATCAATACTTGATCGATCACCCTCCCCCCGAGCGATCGGGACACCGTAGAGCTCTTTCAGAGCTCATTTGTGTCCTATGGTTTGTGGATCTTGGTGTGCGCTGAGTCAAATCTTGGATTGTGCAGCTCCAGGCTAAGTACTGTACACAGACAAGAGGCATATTTGGCTGAACCAAGTCAGATGCCGAGGAATCTATTATAGTCAGACCGGGCCATATCAATCTTGTCCTCGGATGCAAGTAAGCTCTGAAAGTCAAGTCTGTATCGTTCTATTCAGCTCATATCAAGTTATAGTATGTGTTTGGCCAGTATTAAATGGTCAATGCCCATAGCGGCAAAGATCCGTCCGTTTTTGCCAATAAATGCCGCAATTTCTCTGCAAAGAATTTCGGAAAAGAACGGGATACTCAGAGCTTGCTTTGACCCAGTAGTATGGCCGGTGGCGGCGCTGAGAGTGACCGGATACTGCAAGTCATTTTTCACTCTATAGTACATGACAGGTATCATGGCAAAGAAAAACCATCCTATGGCAGTGTCCAATCTGATGAGGATCTCTTGAAACACCAATGAGCCCGAGTTAATGGAGAACAAATATGGTAATATCTCCGATCAGCAGGCCACGGCCATCAAGGTTCAGTGCCGCTAAAGTGCACTTCAGTGCAGTGCAGTGCATGTCCAGTGCACCATATATCACCTCAGAATGAGGAAATATATTGTTTGCCAGACTGAACTGGGCCAGTAAGAGCAAGAGCAAGAGCAAGAACTATACTTGGCGGTCTTTACTGCAGAAGAATCACGGCGAGTCGTTTATCAGGGATGAAAGGTGTAATTTTACACTTGAATAGCATTGATATATCCTTGTTTATGTTATAAATTGGTCTGGACACAAATCATAGCAGAACTACAAGCAGAAAACCGTTGTCAAAAAAAACCAACTATTCCAGTGATTTTCCAGTACCCGCGGCGGGTGTCAACAACTATCCCAGGATTCAGAGATATGAGAGTGGCAACACCATTAGTATTACAAAAAAATGTGTATCTATTGATAAAGAAATTAATTATCTCGAGAAATACACTAGAAATACAACTAATGAGATCCCTCGGCACCCTTCGGTACTGCTCGGCATCGTGCACTGCTGCACTGGAGCACTTCAAGTGCCACTGCAAAATATGTAGCCCCAGGAAAAAAGACTGCTATTGTGTGTTACATAGGTCAGATAGTCTGAATAGCCAGATAGCTAAGTCCCCCTTTACAATGTGTGAGATAGCAACCTCTCTTCCTGGATAGCGCTATATAGCACTCGATATGTGTAGATCATTGCTATGGGAGTATTATATAGAGCCCAATAGATATCGCAATTTGGCATTAGGTGGCGCTAGTAGGCATTGATTCAGATTTTTAGTATGATGAAGCAAAAGGAATAATATTAACTGACAGCAAGCATACAATGATAACACCATACTGAAGGGACGAAGCGCGAACCCTACCTGATAACCGCTCGTCAAGCGCCAGGTACGCTTTTAACTGATTGAACCTGCTGAGTATGAATCAACACGAGGAACACAAGACGAGAGACTAGAAACATACCATGAGAAATGCTGAAGGTAGCGGGATGCAGACAGATCCGGATGACGCTGCCTGGGACCTGTGCAGAACATCAGCGAGCGAAGGAAATCCAGGACAATACTAGAAACTTACTACAAGTCCAAGACATGCCAAAAGGTAGCTGAGACTGGAAACTGGAAGAAATGGGCAAGCGAGAATAACAGCGAGACAAAAAAAGCCTTACCAAAGATATGGAAGCCTACTGATGGAGATATCGAGGAGAAATGAGCCTGAAACAAATTGGTCAGCACCAACTGGGCCAAAAATGACAAACCAACCAGCCCAGAAGAACTGAATGACAGACAGTTGATCCTGAAAAAGATAGAGTGACAGCGAGATAATAGCCGCGAGCGCACACAAGGTGACATATCCCGTGCCAAACGTAATGGGAGTCGGAAGAATAATAGGGAAAGACCACGAACCAGTCAACGAATTCATCGAGTCGAGTCACCAGCAAATGGCGAGCCTCAAGGTCTAAAAAAGCAATTCTGTACCCGCCCGTGGAGGAGAATGTGAAGACCTAAGAAGGCATTGTCAATGAGAGAACTCGGGAGAGATAGAAGCAAACCGAGATGGAAAAAGATAGCAGGGAATTGTGGTGGGGAAGAAAGGGAATATGGAAGAAAGGGGCTGGTCAACACCGCCTAGCCGATCGTTGACTTGGATTGAAGTCAGAAATGGACAGGATGCCAGCGTTATGGAGCAGGACAAAATGTGACTCGCAAGAGCCGCTCATTCGACAGTCGGACGGGCTGAATTATATCTTTTTTATTATTATCCTGTCATTTCACTCGAATATTGTTGAGACACCTAAAAATCATCTCTTACAACTATCCATACATTAGTACATATCTGCAAAGAATGTAAGGAACATCATCGGGTTTCAAGCTCAAGGTCCATAGGAGGGAGCTCAAGATACAGTACATAGGAGGAAGTGAAAGAGGATCAGGAATCATAAAAGAAAAGGAGCAAACCCAATCAGCCAGGATCCCTTGGAGCGTCCCAGGTATGAGGCGAATTGCAGGGGATTCGAGCGGCAAATTTCTCGGACTCTTGTCAGTAAGTCCGATCGTGCTTTGATCGTGCTAGGCCGAAGCCGTGTCCTTCGACGATCGGCATATATTCTTGTTCTTGTTCTCCTCTTCCGAGTGGCGATGGTGTAATGGTAGCATGTCTGACTGTCTAGTTACGGACGGCTCTGGTTCAATTCTCTTAGTTTGATCGTATCCTTGTTCCTCGCTTCCAAGCGACGATGGTGCAGTGGTAGCACGTCCGACTGAAATTACGGATGGCTCTGGTTTGATTCCAGGTTGTCGCCTGGGTTATGATGTCTATCTTTTTATTTTGTCAGTTCCATCTACGACATGACCATCTGCAATTGTTCAGAACATCAACTACAATCCTTTATTAGAACGCCAACAACAGTTCCTCGACTTTGCGTCAAATCAATCATGGCGAAGAGTCGTCTGGCCTCTGATGATCCGTCAATACCACGGTCCCCCAGATCCGCGAACAGTGACCACAACTCCGCGGGCTCCTGACCAATGTGTCATACCCATTCATCCCAACGTTCACCTTCAATCCAACATTTACCCTCATCTCAATGTTGACCCTCATCCCAAACGTCCCAATCCAGTACCCCGTCCTATCCCTTGTCGAAATCTGCATTTCCCTCAAAGTCATAAAGCCCACGGAAAGAAAAGGCTCGTCACCGTCAGAAACATAACCTGCTTGGTCTGGCGGCGATCTTTAAGGTTTGCTTGCATGCCAAGTGTATCGTGGTGAGACTATAGCTGATGGTATCAGAGAGCTGGCTCCTGCAAAGCGTCTATCGGGACGGCCAGATATGGCAATGCACTTTAACGTCTCGGAGCGCGGCAAGGCGATATAGGCGAAGAAAAGGGCGATATAGTCGATGAAATGCACGATATAGTCGACGAAATAGAGTCCTTTGGGGTACAAAAGGAACTGAAGTACGATGCTTTGTTTCTGGTTTGGAAGCGATGATAGTGCAGTGGTAGCACATCCGACTTCACAATACGGATGGCTCTGGTTTGATTCCAGGTCGTCGCCTAGGCGGGATCTAACAGTCTTTTTATTCTGCCAGGTCACTCATCTTCCAATCTTGATAATATCTGAGCTCAGAACATGAGAGGGGCATGTACATAGGTAAAACTTTGAAGTGGGAAGAGTGTCCGACATTGTAAAAAGAAAAACAGATGAATAAAACCAAAGCAATGACCTCTAGGGACCCGTCAATACCGCGGTCCCGAATTCTGCTAAATTGAAGGAATGGGTGAACCTCACGGTTATCATGACACTCCTCCCACACCCGGGGGTTCGCGGAGCTGAGGATGAAGTGTGCGCGTTGATCGGGGTGCGCGCTACGAGGCCGAAGCGATGATGGTGTATAGCGGTAGCATGTCCAATTAACAACACTGCTACACGGATGGCCCTGGTTTGAATCCAGCTCATCGCCTCTTGTCTTGATTGTATTTCTTTTTTGTTCCGTCAATGCGCTCGAATATTGTTAACACGCCTAAATATCATTATTCGCAGAATCTCTTACAGCCATCCATATATATATCTGCGAAGCCACATGAGAACGTAAGGGACATGATCAGGTTTGATGAGGAGGAAGCTTTACCTGATCGTATTCTTGTTTCTCTTTATCAAGTGATGATGGTGAAGTGTTAAGCGGTGGAGGAGTGATAGCACGTCCGCCTGTTCAACTTTACGGATGGCTCTGGTTCGATTCCAGGTCGTTGCCTAAGGGTGCAGATAGTATTGTTTTTTTATCATGTCAGCTCGCTCGTCTTCCATTGTTTATCTGAAGCTTAGAACATGAGAGGGTCAGGAACATTATAGGTACTGAGGAACATCATGAGGTTATATCATAGGTACATAGGCAGAAGTGAGGTACATACGTAGAAGTAAAGTACATAGGAAAAGTGGAAAAACATCCAACATCGTAAAAGGAAAAGAGATGGAGAAAAGCAACCCAATCAACAACAGTCCTTCGTTGCCAAGGACGTCGTTTCTGTGACCGTATTGACGTGGATCACCTGAATCTGACGTGGATCATCTGAAGGTAAATTGAGCTCCCAAGCAATAAGTATACGGACGGTCCAGGGTGAGTATATGGATGGTCCAGAGTGATGTTTCGCAAATTTTGGCGTGTTTGCGAAACACTATATGCAATCCTCAGGCAATAGCCTGGGAAAGGTCCAGTCATCACATATCGCTGAAAATGTTTTTAGCTTCTCGAGGCTGGTCTGTCGAATTCACAGGCGATTCTCACCACAGTTCAGCAGGCATGTCAAGGGTTGTAGTATTGAAGCTTTCTCTGACTCTCGTTAGTAAGTCCTCCGTCAGTCCGAGATATCATGAATCTTTGATCCTTTGATCGGCATATATTCGCATCCTTGGAGGTGATGATGGTGTAATGGTAGCATGTCCACCTAAACAACATCCTTCACGGATAGCTGTCAATATCTTTTTTAATTCTCAAATATTGTTGAGATGCTTAAAAATCCTCCGCGGGCTCTTGACTGATACGTCATACCCATAACGTTCGCCTTCATCCCAAACATCCCAATCCGGTACCTCCGTCCTATCCCTCGAGCAAACCACAATGCAAACATTCCCTTGTCAAAATCTACAATTCCCCACAGTCTCAAAATCGACAAAAAGTCGTGACCGTCAGAAACATAACCTGCTTGGTCTGGCGGTGATATTTAATGTTTGCTTGCATGGTAAGTGAATCGTGGTGAGACTATAGCTGATAGTATCAGAGCTACTAGCTCATTCTGCTTATGCAACATGTCTTGCCTGCATTCACATCCACAAAAGTAGTCTGTCTCACACTGAGGAAGCACAAGACACATAATACAGGGAGACACCAAACCAGACATGACTGCTTCTCTGCAGAGCCCATGAACTCATGATCATGCGGTAAAGGAAATAAAACTCACTCTCAGTGCCTCATCAAACAGTATTTGCTGATCTTCAAGCCAGCCCTATCAACATGAACAGGTTGTCCACAGCCTGGAATTGCACAATTGACAGGATCAACTGATACTGGCAAATTGGGAGCTGCAGGTACAGATGAGACTGATGTTGAAATGTTAAATGTATTGCCAGATTTGGGCAAGTTAACCGCAAAAGGGTTGTTGGATGGCGGTGCTGGCACTGACGGAACATTGGAAACCATATTATTTGACTGAAGAGCAGCCTGAAATTGCGGAATTTGCTGAATCATCAACTCTGAATCATCATAAGACTTGGTAAAGTGTCAAGAGGTTCAAACCTACTAGCAATTTGAACTGTGTCCAAAGTGGCCAACTTCTGCGGTGCAGCAGACCCATTGCTAGCCAGGGGCGACATGGGTTTAGATTGTATGGTGATAGCAGGGGAAGTCTATAATTATTTGAGGCTTGACACGTGTCGATCGCATGCATGCGTTTCTAGCTCCGATTGAACAGCTGCCTATTCTTCGCTCAAAATGGTAACTATCAATCATTGATTGATGAATTTATTTATAACATGTGAAAATTAGGGCCAGACAAGGGGAACTTAACAGGGGGAACTGCTTTTGCCCCCGGTGAGAGCAGATCATATTCAATGATTCTCATTCAAAGAAATCTAAGGCCAAACAGAAACCTAGACAAACCAACAATCTGGAGCAACATTCAGTTCTCATTGATGATATCAAGTTCTTGAATGGACACAAACAGGACAAGACTCACACTTCACGACTCCATATATCTATGAGCAACTATGCTATCAATTTCATTGGTGGAATCTTGCCTAGAAGTGATCGTAGAGATCATGAATATTACTGCTCAGTCATGCTAACATTATTTAAACCTTGGAGGGAACCTTCTGACTTGAAAGATGTTGATCAAACTTGGGATGAAGCCTTTTGTTCATACAAATTCTCATCAGAAGAACTGCAGCTTATGAAAAACTTCAATCTGAGATATGAGTGTAATGATTCACGAGATGACTTTGCTGCTCAGCGCAAAAAGGCTGGTAATCAAAATATGAAACTTATGAACTCTTGGGAAGATGCACAGGCAGATGGTGAACTTCTTGATGAACTTGATGAACTTGATGAATATGACATACATGATCAGGGAACTTTTATAGACCAAGATGAGCAGAGACTGGCCAAGAAAGACAAGTTCTTTCAAGCTGATGAGAATACTATGTCTCAGATGGAAAGAATTGTTCGAGCCTTAGGAATGTATGACATGAATCCTGAACAGTACCACCTTTCTCAAGATCTACTCAATTTTGAAACCTCAGAGCAGAAGTCAGCACCTGAATGGAGAACCACTATTCAGAATGCTAGAAAAAATGAGTTGAAGTCTATGCAAGAAAACCTGGGTGATACTTCTGATAAAACCTTGAATCCTACTGGTGAATATAACCGATGGAATGAAGTTGTTGTTGAAGACATCAATTACATTGACAAGAACTTCAAAGCCCAGCAGCAAAAAGACCAGGACCTCATTGAAACTATTATTGCTGATTTCAAGCTTCAAGACAATGCTGAACAGAAAAGAGCTTTCCGAATCATTGCCAATCATGTTACTTTATCACAGAGCAGTCAACTCAAAATGTATCTTGGTGGCATCGCAGGTACAGGAAAATCCCAAGTGCTTTTAGCTTTAAAAGAACTCTTCAAACAACGACATGAAGCACACCGACTAATCATACTTGGACCTACAGGAACATCATCAGTGAAGATCAATGGATCAACATACCATTCATGTCTTTCATTTGGCTTTGACTCTGATTGGAGTTGACTATATCTTTATTGATGAGATTTCAATGATTTCTGCCTATGATTACTATCGAATTGTGAACGACTTGTAAAATCAAAGGGCAATGATGATATCACACAGACATGGGGTGGTATTAACATGATTTTTGCTGGAGATTTTGCTCAATTGCCACCAGTGGATATCAACCACTTTATAGCAGATTAATTGGCAGGTCAATTCATGCTAGTATGACTTTACGTGATCAAAAAGAAACTATGGGCAAGGCACTGTGGCATCAAGTGACAACTGTTGTAATTTTGCGCAAGAACATGCGAGAACATACCCAGAGTCCAGAAGATCAAAAGCTCCGAGTTGCATTAGAGAACATGAGATATGGATCCTGCACCCCCAACGACCCGGAACACCCGAAACCCAGACTTGCAGGTCGTCATTGTAATCAACCTCATTTATCTGATGCAAACTGGAGATATGTCTCTGTGATTACTGGCTTGAATGCTCAGCGAGATAAACTGAATGATATGGCATATCAACGATTTGCAGATGAAGTTGGTCAACCAATTCACTACTTCCACTCTCTGGACAAGTGGGGGAATGAAGATGACACTGGTGAAAAAACAGCAAGATCACAAAGAAAACACAGAGGCAAAGCATCCACTCAATCAGTAATGTCTGAAAAAGTTAGAGAAATTATATGGACTGTGCAACCAAGGCATACTAAGCATCTACCTGGAGTGCTGCCTTTATGCATTGGAATGCCTGTGATGCTAATGAAGCTACTGAATTATGTTTAACCAATGGCCAAGAAGCTCAAGTTGTTGGCTGGGAAAGCACACAAGATTCTCAGAAACGTGAATATCTTGAGACATTATTTGTAAAGTTAATTGATCCACCCAAAACAGTACAGCTTGAGAATCTTCCAGTCAATGTTGTCCCTATCCCTAGAGCTAGTGTCTCAGTCCCTGTTAGATTCCCAAATGGTGAAATACAAAGAATTATTCGCAGCCAAGTTCGAGTAATTCTCAATTTTGCCAAGACAGATTATAATAGTCAAGGATCTACACGAGATAGGAATCCAGTCAATCTTAGCAATTCAAAAGATCATCAAAATTTCTATACTGATCTTTCTAGAAGTTCAACAAGTGCAGGAACTGTCATAATGCAAGCCTTTGATGAGAAAAAGATTACTTCTGGAATTGTGGGTGATTTGCATCAAGAGTTTTGTGAATTAGAACTACTGGATTCAATCACTAAATTACGAAGGCACACTTCCTGAAACTGTTACTGGTATTACACGGAATGAACTCATTTCCAAATTATGTCAAGCTAAGGGTGAACACTTTATGCCTCCAAGTGTACCAGCCCATTTACAATGGGGTCCAAACATGCCATTGGTAATACAAGCACATGAAGCTGAATGGAAGATGATTGATAAAGAAACATCACCAGTTAAATCTGGTGATAAATCCACCATAAACTCTGGATTTATCCCTGCTGCTGGCTCAACTCCATTGAAATGTTCAGCTGCTGCACAACTATTGAAATCTGGTAAATGTGCAAGAGTATTGCAATTTGCTCCAGATCAGATTGGTCCAGCTGGATTTATCTGGGATAGTATACATCATAGTTGCCCATATGATGCATTCATGTCAATTTTAGCTGATATATGGCTTTACAATCCTGTGGCTTG